TTGGAGTTAGCAAAGCCCTGGAAACGCCAAATGAACCACCCATGGATACTCTCCCCTCCCAAAAGGCAAGGACATGTTGGCTTGATGATGTTCCCCTATCCCCCTACCTGCTGCACACCTTTGTCTCAGAGGAAGGGTCATCCCAGCAACTCAGCCAGCCTCTTGTCACAGAGCCAACCCATCATCTCCACCTCGCAGCCAGGCCCATCCTGTGTCCTGAGTCCCAAATGAGAATTCCTCTCCTTAGCAATGCCTTTAAAATCACTTGTTCATTTCCATCTATCCACACCCGCAGTTTTTCTGGTAACAGAGCTGACCCCTCTCCTCACTTTTACACCACCACTCACAGTTTTCCTGCTACTCCTCTGACCTCTCTTTTGCTGGTTCCTCTTATCTGCTGCTCCCTTAATCATCCACCCATCTGTCCCTCCCCCCAATCCTTCTTCACTCATTCTACAGTCAGCAGGACTGGAACTACTTTAGGGCATTGAGTAGCATCAAGTAAAATAAAAACAAAAAATCTATAGAGATGAAAGAAATAGCATAAATTTACTTCCTCCCCCTGGAAAGAGCCCAAAGAACTCAATTTTTAAAATTTAATTCTGTTTCCCTTGTATTTTTTCCCTTATATTTTTATCGTGTTCCGAAATGATGGGATATTGGAACACATATGTTAAGTATATCTAGCTTGTTTTCAGCACCACCTACTTCTCTATCCCATCCCCACCCACCCTGGGCCAAAATTGTGCAATGAAAAGATTTTTCATGCATCATGTTCCCTTTCTAAAGGGGCCAGTATAGGGACAAGTGGATGGTCTGTGGACTCAGTTCAAATCCTGGCCCTACCATGATGTCAGGGGCAAGTTTTTCAGTCTCTGGGCTTGTTTTATGTCATTAAAAAGAGGGAAATAGCTCTTCCTGTTATCCTCATCAAACCTCGGACATCTCCTTTTCCACTTTTCCCTCCCTCAAATCTGCTCTTCTTCAAGTCCACCCTAAAGTGTTAATAACTTAATAGTTAGATTGCATTTTAAGAAGCACCCATAGAGGCCGTCCTTAGGAACTTTATCTCTCCGGCAGCAGGGAGATACAGCTCAGGTGCGGCGGCGGGGGCGGGGGAGGGTGGTGGGAAGAGGTGGAGAGGGTCTCCAACACTATGGAAGTAGCTGTCTGGAACGTTTCCCCAAAGCTGGCTCTGCAATTAACAAAAGCTGGTTTCACAAGCTCAGTTAAATATGAAATCCCGGCAGGCCTTGGCACTGAGTGTGGGGAGACCCTTAGAACAAAAGCCTTAATTTCCTTTTCCTTCATTTCAGGTGCTCACACACATAGTTAACACTCAATGAGCACTTTCTGTGTGGTCAGCAGCCATCACAAATTTGCAGAGAAGACCTCTCCTTTGGCAGGGTGGATTCTTACAGACTAAAATCTTCCATGGCCAGATAAAGGTGGTGAAACAAGGGCTGGTGTAATCTAGTACCCTACAGACCTAAAGAAATTAATATCAAACCAAAAGAAACCAAATTTCATTTTGCCTTTTATTTACGAGTTTCATTTAAATATCTCTAATAGTCAGAAAATCAATGTCAAATAAGATCATGGGAGTACAGCTTAAAATACAAATGTCAGTAAATATTAAAGAACATGGTTAGTAATTTGTCCAAGTAAATGCTTGATAACAAATTATTTTCCAGGAAGCAAGTTCAACATCAGGTGCCCAAAGTATAAGGGACGGAGCTCCAGGCTGCTCCGGAAATGGTTGCACAGCAGTCCTTTCCCCCTCGGCGATGCACGAGGCTGCTTGCATGACAGCTGTACCACCAGGCTTTAGACCCCAGATCCAAACCTACTTGGGCTTTTTCCACCAGGGGAAGGAGTCATGTTCAGAGACAAATGCACCACTTTAAGATGAAACTAGGATGGCTCAGTTCCAAGATACTCTGGTTTAATCTGGGAAGTCAAGGCCTCCCAAGAACTATCAAATGAAGATAGGTTACCAGGGACCGATGGACGAAAGAGTCAAGCCAGATTCATTCTGAACTTCCATACAATCCATTATTTTCTTCTTTAACTGACTCAAGTTCAAGCTGTTTATATTTCTCTTATGCCTAAAAGGGTGCCAGCTCAGTTGTGTTTAGCCTGAACTTTTACCCAGTGTGCCCAATACTAAAGACCTTTTAGGCCAATCATACTTCTGGAAAACTGTGTTTATATATTAACATACCTCAAAGTTCACATTTTCATTATAACACATTAGCTTTTTTTTATATATAACAAATTAGCTTTAATGTTACAAATAATATTTCAGAAAACCCAATCTAAGTAACTTGACTGAGGCTACTAACCCGCATTTGAAACGAATACCATCTTCTCAACCATTTTGACCGATTCCCAGTTAGCGGAGCTGTGATATTTATACATAAAACAATATCTAAATTATGCCAATATTACAAAGTTTCTTACCTAAAATTATATGCAATTTAAAGAACCAAAGCATACTTTATTCAAGGTATATCCAAAATATTAAATGTTCGATCTTATTTTTTAGTTGATTTTAGATGTCTCAATATGGAAATCTTTACTAAAAGGAATAATAAATGCTTTAGAAGACTGACAAGTACCACCAACCCCCTCTCAAATTCCAGTGTCCTCTGGCAGTAGCCCAGGTCTCAGAGAGGCCACAGACACCAGAATTGTGGTCAAGGAGACAGACATGCTGGGGGTTAACCAGGAGACTCTCCTTGGAGCATTCATGGAAAGAGCTGACAGAGTTCACAGTAGAAAAAGGCAGACAATAAACTGGCCTTTCTTCCATCTCGATATACTACAATTAGAAAGCGGGAAATATATTAGGCAGAGAAAAAACACAGATAAGCTTGGAGAAGCAGGTGGGAAGTCTGTATTCTCTCAGCTGTCCCGCAAGTTACTGAGTCAGACGCATTTTATGGCCTTTGCTAGGCTCCAAAACGGGATTCATACACTCTGTAATCCCCGTAAATGCTCCGACGGTGTGCCAGGGTTTAGCTGACATAAAGAACAAAGGATGGCAGACAAGCAGTCTTCAACTTTAGCAACAAACCTTCACGAGAGCACAATGGCAGTCATTCACGTTTTATTTCTCAGTTATGATCCAGGAGGTCAAAAGGAACACTAATGATTTCAGAATAAAAGGACCAAGGCTTAAGCACTGACTGGAGCTGAAGCCCAATCACTGAACAGCTGCACTGGAAAACAGACAGGGAAATGTCCCCGAGTTAAAAGCACTCCAACACTTGAATGAGTATCACCGGGACGTGAAAAGTCAAACTTTCTTTTTTCTTTCAGTGGATGGTACAAGGTGGAAGAGGAGGAGAGGGGTCAACTAACGTAGTGCAGGAAGACAGAACTGTCAGCTTTGTGGGATTATATTTGTGTTTCCATTTAGGGACACATTTCCTGTTGTGTAAATGCCGCAGCATTTCACGAGAACACGACATTCTTTCCCCCAAAAAGGATCCACATGGTTTAATTTGAAATAAACACAAAGACTGTGCTGCCCACAGAAGCCATTACAGGTTGCAGTTTTATTTTTGCCCCAACTCCTATACTAAATATGGTCTGGCTCCTGAGGAGAAGCCATGGCGGTTTATCCCACAGTCTTAGGGCAAGCATCCCGTCTGACAAATCTCACTCCTTCTTCCCCACTGCCTCTCAGGACATAGACAGGCAGCCCTGGTCAGTGACTTCTCAAGCTGCTCATGTTTTCACCTGTCCAGATTTGGGCTGAATCTTAGGTCCATAATCCACTGCATAAGCCAGTCCTGCCTGCACATCTGTCACAACTACCATATTACACGATCGCATTTTCTCCTCCCCTATAACCATTTGAAGAGGGAGCCTTCTTTCCGGACAATATTGCGTGCATATAGTCAGTAGCAGTAGAGTGAGGGAGTTTGGCAGAGCAGGGGTAGGAATATTAGGTGGAATGAACAGAAGAACGTTTGAGAGGTATAATCAGAAAGGCTAAGTGCTATAAATAGCCCCACAGAGGCTAAGCCCTGGAGCATATTTTATTAATGCTGGGAAGGCGAGGAGTTAAGGCTTAGATAGAAGTTACCTCCTAGTGTGGCTCAAGGTTCAAGGGGTGGGACACAGTGGAAGGTATCACAAGTGGCACGAGTCAATTCATCAGCTGGTCCAGAGGCCTCGCCCCTCTCACTCTCGGCTGAAAACCAAGACAAATCATTCCAAGCATGCTTACAGCAGGCCTGTTTGCAAGTTTGAGGACTGTTTTAACATAAACAAAAACACACCAGGATGCAGCATCACAAAATGTTTTCACAAGTATAATCACACAAAAAAGTTAGAATATTGCATAGAAAAGAGTATTCTCTGTAAACCTAGGTCTTAGTAATTTAAAAATAAGTCCGCGATTGTAAATTGAGGAAAACTACCAAGTTTGCAGATTCTGCACAACATCAGGAAATCCTGAAGTTCTTCAGAGTCTTAGGACGATGATTACATTTACCCTTGGAAGGCTCAGGCTGATGATGGCTTAACAACAACAGCGTCTTTATAAAAGGACTTTGGCTATGGGCCCAAGCCAATTCTATGGTCTCAATGCTCTGCCCTCTCTATGCAGAAGCGGTGACCAAAACACACTGTGGCATGAAATCACTGCTACCGTTTTTAAACCGAGCCTGGCTTTTCCTCCTGTCAGTCTATTATTAAGGCCAGCAACCTCGGCCTGCCTTTTTAACAGTAAGGTCTGAATAGCCAGTTTAAGAGTAAGTGAAAATGTCTTAGAAAAGCATTTTTTTTTTTTTAATTTTTTTTCAACGTTTTTTATTTATTTTTGGGACAGAGAGAGACAGAGCATGAACGGGGGAGGGGCAGAGAGAGAGGGAGACACAGAATCGGAAACAGGCTCCAGGCTCTGAGCCATCAGCCCAGAGCCCGACGCGGGGCTCGAACTCACGGACCGCGAGATCGTGACCTGGCTGAAGTCGGACGCTTAACCGACTGCGCCACCCAGGCGCCCCTTAGAAAAGCATTTAAGTTAACCTTGGCAATACGGGACACTCTTAACCCCCTTTGTAATATGCGTCAATTGAGTCTGAGTTAAAATACACCACGGTGACAGTGATGTCATCCCTGTACATCCTCGCCAAGTCCTCTGGCAAAGTCAGCATCGCTGTTAGCCGCTCCGGTTCCATCTCCCCATATTCATTGCTCCCTATGGCATGTCTGATCAGACGCGTGGCTGCATTTTGGTCGGCCGCGCGCAGCACCTGGGCTCTCCTGTGCTGCAGCAGGCTCTGCATGAGTCCTAGGTTGGCGGGTCTCTGGGCCAGGTCCGGCTTGTGCCGACTTGCTTCTGCCAGGTGCTCCACCACCAGCCTCACCACATCCTCATTGTCCAGCACGTCCCACAGGCCATCTGAGGCCAACACAAGGAACTTATCCTGGGGCCTCAGCCGGTGGTAGGTGACCTCAGGCTCAGCAGTCAGGTAGGGTGGAGTGTGGTAGTGTGGGGGGGTGAACTGGTAAATGTTGAGGGCCTCAGTGTCAAAGCCCCTCTCCAGGACACTGCGCTGCAGCTCTTTACTCCACTTCAGCTGGACATCCCCGAAGGCCCTGCAGGGCATGAGCACGCCCAGCAGCCTGTTGTCCACAATGACTGTCCTGTCCTCTGATTCAGGGTGCTCCCTCTTTAGCCGTGACAGCTCAGCTTGGTTCCAGGCATTGTGGTCGCGTGTGAGGGGCAGACAAGACCACATGCCATTGTCCTCCTGGACCCCAAGGATGGCCCGACAGTCACCAGCGTTTGCCACATGCAAGTGAACTCCATCAACATGGGCCATGCAAGCTGTAGCCCCAGAGAAGGCCACCTGGAGTGAAAGGTTCCTCGTCATCTCATCTTCCAGGGGGGCCTGGACTTCCAGCGAGATGTCAGAATCCAGTCTCTGGAAGGAATACATTAATGCTTCCTTAATGTTGAGTCCCATTTCCATGTGCAGGTCAAGCAGTTCCTGCCAGTAGACACGGAGGTGATCAAGGTGCACTGACGTGACATCCTTGTAGATACTGTCCCCTGGGTGCTTGAGCCATTGCAGGATGGGCATCAGGGGCTTCATGCTCTCCATGGCTCCCTCCATCCGCTCCAGGGTCTGCTGGGACATCAGCGACACCGCCACATAGTAGAAGAGCCTCTCACTCACTGCTTGAGCACATGCATGGCCACCATGTCCATCGAAGATGCCAAACATCAGCCCGCTGGTCTGCAGGCAGGAAGCCACACCTCGCCGGTCCTCCACTGGGGAATTGGCAGCCAGTTGGTTGCTCTCAAACCGTAACACTGAATTTGGGGCTCCACTGACGAGGTCGAGGATCTTGTGAGCCGACTCACCGGCTCGCAGCACTTCATTCACCTGCTCAGGGCTGAGTTGCAAGTGGAAGTCGTCTTCCTCTGTTGATGTGTGTCTGTAGGCTTTCTGCAAGGCAAAGCCATTGCACGGGGCACTGCTCTTCAGGGTGCCTGGTCCCTGGGAAAAGAGTCTCCATCTTGATTTATTTCTATTTGAGGCACACCTTGAATACAAACGTCTGCCCCCTTGTAACGTGGCAATGCTGTTCCTTGCAGAATTTAAGATCCAGAAGGGCAAAGTACTTGACATTATGCAGCAATACCGGCAAATGTGTTCCTTCCGCAAAAGGGGCTTTCTTTAAACCTGAAAATTAAAGAGTTGAAGAAAATTCAAATTTAATTTCTTAAAAACAGACTTCTGAAAACATTTATTTTGCTACTATTCTGAACAAAAGTGTTTTAAGATAAACCTTAAAAGAGTTGGGTGGTTCTGTGGGTTAAGTGACCGGCTTCGGCTTAGGTCGTGATCTTATGGTTCCTGACCCCGAATTCCTGATTTCGGGTTCTCTGCTGTCAATGAGGAGCCTGCTTTGGATCCTTCATCCCCCCGCTCTCTTTCTGCCCCTCCCCTGCTTGTGCTCTCTCTCTCTTTGAGCTCTCTCTCTCAAAAACAAAAAAATTTTTTTTTAAATAGCCAAACAGTTAACTAAATTCAAAACACTTAAGCAAGTCTCCCTACCTCCCATTACAATGCATAAATAACATTTCAGAAAATGAGAAAAACGGGATTTTTATATGCTCTCCATTCATACAGAGCCACTGAAGGCTTCCCCACAGAACTCACTCATTGCTCACAGCCGACCCAGGGGCCCCTTTATATTTTCCTTCCCAAATCTTTCCCTTGCCAGAGCCCAGTGTCTAGCTCCCATGTTCGCTTTCCCCAACAGACTGTAAGTGTTTATTTAAATATCTATCTGCTTCTCCACTAGTCTATACGCTCCATGAATTCAGGAACCCTTACTCACCGGTGGCTCTCCAGCCCCATACAACATGCAACAGGTCCTCAAATACTGGCTAGACGCAGCATTTCCAAAGGCCCAATAGCACACCAGGTGTGACACCAGCTGTCTAACATCAGACACACTGCTTCACTTGCCTGAGCTCCAGCGGTCTGTCAGGGGGATGGGAATACCCGTCTTATAAGGTTTTGTGAGGATTCAATGAAATATGACCCTTCTGCTCCAAAAAGGTAGTTATACTTTTATCATTAAGTGACTCCTCTGGTCACTCTGTATACATTTTTATACAACTGAAACCACAACTTACAATCTGTTTTTTTTTTCTTTTAAGCATTTTATTCATGATAAAGACATTTCAGGGATGTGTACTACCCTATTTTGGCATAAACAATCTCAATTTCCTTAACTGTTCTCTATTGTTGTAGATTTAGAAGTCGTTTCTACTGGCTATGGATAAAACACCAAATTGCACTGCCTTATGCACCAACCTTTTCCCTACTTAGGTTTTAATCTACTTATTTCCCAAAGGAGGAATCAGTAGGTCAGAGGGTGTAGACTCATAATGCCAAACTGATCTCCAAAATGTTCACATCTGCCTCCACAAGGACATGAAGGGAACAGTTTCCTACCACCTTCAACAGACGCTGAGGATACCTCCTCTTAGACAAAAAGCAAAGCAAAACAAACAAACAAACAAACAAACAAACCTGCTCTATTTTCTATTTTCCCGGGTGACCTAAGAGGAGCGCTTCCCACGTGTTTTAGGATTTCGTTCAGGAGACCTGCCCTCTGCCAGTTTGTCTGTTGGGGCACTAGGAACTCTCAGAACTGAGGACCGTGCTCCTCCCCGCCAGCCCACCCCGCTGAACTTGGGGCAGGAGCGGTAGGTCAACGCCCACAGAGGCCGCCTGGCACCTCCCACCCTCCAGGGCCCTGCAGAGAAATCAGGGAGCAGTGCCGGACACAAGTTGGTCCGCCGCAGCCGGGACCCAAACAATTTCGCGTCCCTGAAGAAAACACAGGTCCCAAGTTCAAGTCTCTGCCCCACAGCCTCATAGATAAGAGTACGGTCTCGGGAGTCTATCAAGCCCGATAGCGCCCATACCCCGGCGCGGCCACATCCCTGAGCTCCAGCTTCCCAGCCTGTAAAATAGGGAAATTCAGTCGAGGCGCCGAACTCACAGGGGTGCTCCAAGGGCTAACGCAGCTAGTGCGTGTGCCGGGGTCCGAAGCCAAGGGTCCTTGGCGAGTCCGAGAGCCCACGTGGCGCGTGCGCGCGGTGGGGTGACCGTGACTGCGGGCCCGCCCCCTCGCCTCATTTCACCTCACCTCCGCTTTCCACCTCATCATCTGAACCGATTCTGACGGCCGCAGAGAGCTGGGCTCCGGGGACGCCCGGCGGGGCTGGAGGGGTCCCCATCCTGCGATCGCTCCCTTCCCTACCTCGGACCCTCGCTCCCCACTCACCAGCTTGCGCCACTGCCACCGGGTCCGTCCCGTCAGTTCCACGCCTGCGCACAGTGCTGCGGCTGCCGCCACTCCCGCCTCACCTCCTTGAAGCGTCCCCTTGTGCAGATCCAGATGGAGAAGGAAGCATCCTCTCTCCAGCTCTTATTGGTTCACCTGCGGAGGCGGGCCTTTGACGGACAGAAGAATTACCCAATGGCTGAGGAGGGCGACGGGGCAGGCAGGGCGGGAGGAGCTAAATCCAGTTCCTCCCCACCCATCCGCACCCTTCTGGGCTCCGACCGTGGGTGAGCAGAGTTCCCGGCTACGCGACCAGGCAATCAGGGACCGAGCTACCCCGCCACGTGATGGCCCACACTCTGCACACCCCAAACCCAGCATCCTCTCCAATTCTTTACTGTTGGTAATGCCGCACGGTTTCCTCTCCTTTGCTTTGCCCACCAAATCCAAACCTCTCTCCCAAGCGTCACAGCCTTGTGTTCAACCACTTGGACGCCTCCCTTTGGAGGCCCTATGTACGCCTCGAACACATCTCGCTCAGAACTCACCTTCCTACCAAACTCGCCCTTCCCCTCCTACCCTAACCCAATAATGGCCCCACCATCTTCCCAGATAGCCTAAACCAGAATCCTGGGAGTCTTAACTGCTCCCTCTTTCCAGCCCCTCTCCTGTTATGTAATCCTGCTAATCTTATCTCCCGAGTATCTCTGCAATCCACACATTTGCCTCCAGCTACCCTATTCCAATCCTCTCATCTGGTCTCCCTACGTTCACTTTACGACCCAGCTGCTCTTCCTGTACGGAACAGGCAGTGACCCTTCTAAAACTCGAACTCCTGCTCTAAAGTTTTCATTGGTTCCCAGGGGCCGTTGGGCCTTCAAAAGACATTTATACTGATCTGACCACTGACAGTTACTAGAAATGGTTACCGGTTGGTAGGTTGAGAAAGACTGAGAACCAAGACACCAGATAACCCCTCAGTCCCTCGTATTGTGGGATTCCAGTTATCCCCTGCTTCCTTACTATCGCAAGGCAAGTACAGTCCTCCCCTGGAGGCAGAGACCAGAAATGCCACTTGGAGCCTTGAGAATGTAGTCTTCTGGAAGCGAGACACACTGGTTTACCTGGAGAGCCTGGCCAGCCCACCTGGACCCGAGGACATGCCTGCCATAATACCGCTCCTGTCAGACTTGCATCTGATTTGACGTTTATACTGCCACTCACCCTTGGCCCTTTCAGGAAGTTTTCTGGTAAGTCAGAATTTGCAATATCTCTCTTCCTGGATATTGAGAAGGCTGTTTCAGATTGAAAGTAAAGATAACTCTAAGGCATTCTAAATAAATGGGCGTAAGTTTTATTTTTAGGTTTTGTATAGATAGTTCATTTGGGGTGACAAAGGGTCATCCTTAAGGACAGAGTCAGCACAGTTTAATCACTTCATCTGCAGGCATTTATGGGTGCCTGAGGTGACTACTGGAGGCACACAGATGGCTGCCCCCACCACACTTTCCTGAGAGAAATTACATCACTCTGCTAAGTCTGAAACCACAGAGTTTTTTTTAAGTTACCACACACAACAATTCCAAAGTAAAAATGTATCTTTGAAGATTTTGTGTGCACTGGAGCTTTCGTTTAGAGGCTGTAGCTAGCTCAGTCACCAACATATGATGGCTAGCCCAAGAACCCCAGCCAGTCTCCCAGTGCTTCTTGTCTCAAGGTCTTAAAAGAAGAAAAATGAAGGAAAAGGTCTGATCTCTCCTTAAGAAAGGAAAAGCAGCAGCTCAGCTGTCATTTTCTGAGGAAATTTAAAAAGATTCAGCCTCAGTCAAAACCAAGCAAATAAGAATTAAAACAAGGTACTGGTTTTTGTCAAGCAACCTGACAATCATTAAAACAGATTAGTACTTCATGTTGGTGAGTAGGCATTGCCTTCTGGGCAGGTAGGAGTATAAATTGAGGCTACCCAATGGACAGATTTTTGATCCGCTAATTCTACTTCTTTTTTTTTAATGTGTTTTATTTATTTTTGAGAGAGAGCATTAGCGGGGGAGGAACAGAGAGAGAGGGAGACATAGAATCTGAAGCAAGCTCAGGGTCTGAGCTGTCAGCACAGAGCCCTACTCGGCGTTCAAACCCATAGACCTTGAGATCATGACCTGAGCTGAAGTTAGACAGCTTAACTGATACAACCACCCAGGTGCTCCAATTCTACTTATTTTAATTTACCCTAAATAGACAGTCAAAGGTAAACATTAGAAATTTTCTTTTTCTTTTCTTTTGAGAGAGAAAGAGGGCACAAATGAGTGAGGGGCAGAGAGAGAGAAAGAAATTTTCTACAGTAAACATACACATATATTACTCCATCTGGCATTTCTTGTTTAATCAAGAAGAAGAAAGAGGAGGAGGAGGGAGAGAAGCAGCAGCAGCAGCAGCAGCAGCAAAACTATATTTTAAAAAACAACCACAGGCCTAACCGGAGTAGGGAGTTAGATCCCTTGGATGATTCTGGCAAAATTCCCTGATTTTATAGCCATACAAATAGGGGCTTCCATGGAATGTTAGGAAAGCTGGATCTGAGATTATCTTGTGTCAGGAGGAGAGAGTAGCAGATAGCTTTTTGTCCAACTGTCAAAACTATACATCTAGGCCTGATATCTGTAAGAGTTTGTAAAAACCCCAGATATCTTTCTTTGTGGCCGAGCAGACATGCTTCCCCTTGGAGCAGTTCTGTGACCTTAGTGCTCCCCAGTGCAACTGAATAAACCCAGAAAAGCCTTCCTGCTGATCTGAGCACATCTGTGGCCTCCGACAGTCGTCTCACAGA